CGAAAAGAAAATTTAAAATGCAACATGAAATGCCCAGAATGCCCCTAGATCAGTTTAGGTCAAAACGATAAAAAAATTACTTTGCACCAAGTGATCATTTAAAATACAAAGAAAATGTTTTAAATGGAAAACTTGAGACCAACAAGCATCCATTTCATACAAATGTGATATTTTGTGTAAAGTGAGAAATCACATAAACGTAATATATATATATATATATTTGCACGCGTTTCAATGGCCTACGGCCTCAATGGTCGCTAAATACAAAATATCACATATAAAATCTCAAATTTTGCCTAAAATGGCTTTTAAAAGAAAAACTTGAAACTAAAAATTATCAAATGGTTTCAAAGGACCGTTTGGCCCTTGCCACACTTCATGCATAAATTAAGAGACCCTATGAAGTTAAAGCATGCCATTATTCTATTTTTCAATAAAATAGTTTGAAAGTAAAAGTACTTATAATACAAAATGAAAGTACTTGGCTCATGGCCTCATTACATACATATCAAATACATCCTAAAAGGTATACTTACGTGCACATTACATATTTAGAACTAAATATACAAGTTTGACATTTTAAACTTAAAAAAGCATTTCATGCTAACAATTGCATGAATTAAATACTTCAAGTCTACAAAACATCCAAAGCATAGAATGAATCTCAAATCATGACTTCTTGTACCTGAAACAAGTTGCATTTAGCGGGGTGAGTAACTTGTATTACTCGTAGGGAATGAACATGCATAGACCTAACGTTTTACATAATTATCACATTAATGTGAAACAATTCATAAGGTTCATGCCACCTAACGTTTATGTCAAAGTGACACTCAGGAATCATCATAAGCTACTTTAAAACATTTCTAGCATAAATCACAATATTTATGCAAGTGAACGACATAGGAGTATACGGCATAATGCAACACGACATAGGTTATCAAAGTTATCAACTTGTAACCTAAAATGCGAAAGCAACTAAAAGATTCATACCACCTAACATCTATGTTCCAAATGAGTCTAAGGAATCATCCTAGGCTACATTAGAACAATTAAAACACAAATTACAATATAAATGCAATTTAGCTAACATTAGAACTTCAAATACAACGCAACAAAATATAGATTATCAATGTCATCTACTTGAAATCTAAAGCACGAGAACAACTAAATATAACAATTTAGTAAAAGTATAACTTATAATATAACGCATCAAGACATAGATTATCAAAGTTATCCATTTGAAATCTAAAGTACGTAAACAATTAAATATTTCAATTTAGTAAAAGTAAAACTTCTAATACAATGTATCAAGACATATTATCAAAGTTAATAACTTGAAATCTAAAATGTGGAAATAAGAAATTATAACAATTTAGTGCTATTAACTTGTAATGAAAAGCGAAATCAACAAAGGTGGATACTCGGATATCGATCAGATCAGACCGACATGGGGCTACTTTTGGGCTACTAACCCATTGGCAGCCTACCTTACGTGCACACTAGACCCATGGGGGGAGCTCTCATCCCCCGTATTAGAACCATGTCCTAGCCGTAGTCATACATTTGATATCCCAAGTTTTCAAAATCAAGAAATTGTGCAACAACATATATATCATCATGTATATACTAGGTAATAAACTATCTACTATGCACAAACCAATTTTGGAAACACACAATACGTGCTCTAAGTCCATAACAACTATGGTATATAAAATGTCGAATCTTAAGTGTGCGATTCGTTACACGCTATAACAATATTATCCAATATTGAAAACATATCTCATGCTTATAATACAAGCTCGGAATCATGATTTAAACATATAATTAACGTCAAATACATGATTAAGTCATTAATGCAATTGAATTGAAATTAAATTAAATAAACTAATTAATTTCTCTAGATTTCAAATCTCATCTAATTAATTCCTAATTAACATATATGTCAAGATCATATCATAGTCATTACATATATCAAATCAAAAACTTAATTAGGTCATTGGAACAACAAAATAGAATTTAATTAAAACATGATAATTAAATCTCTAGATTCTAAAGCAACTCTAAATGGTCGCAAATTAATACATGATAGTAAACAAGTCCTACTTATTACAAATATTAAGTTAAAAACTTAATCAAGTCAATGGAACCATTAAATAGATTTTAATTAATTCATTTAATAAAAATCTCTAGATTTTAAAACTTATCCAAATGCTTTTAAATAAAAATATGTTAAAGAACATACCAAGTCCTAATTTAATAGCATATCACAAGTTAATTCTATATTAGATACAACTAGGTGAATTAAAATTTCAAACAAGAAAATAATTAAATAAAATTTTCAATACTCATTTAAATATTCTCAATTTCATATACGTTAATGAACATACCAAGGCCTAATTTAATATCACATTACATGTTAATTCCATATTAGGTACAACCATGTTAAGAAAATAATTAAATAAAAGTCTCAAAACTTATTCAAATATTCTCAATTTAATATATGTTAATGAACATATCAAGACCTAATTTAATAGCATTCCAAAAGTTAGTTTCACACTATATACAACTATGTGAATTAAACTTTATACAAAGAAAATAATTAAATTAAATTCTAGAATAAATATAAAGGTATGCATATAAGTTGTATAAGTTTGGAAAACATTTACTATAACAAATATACAAACCTAAAACATCCCCTACCTCCATTTGAGATGAAATTTTAAAAACCACCAAAAGGAAACTACTTTGAATCCGACGATACTTCGGGGTTACATCAGGAACTACGAGGAAAATAACTATCCCCCTTGAGGTAACACCAAAATCCAAACCCAAACTCAAAAATGGTCAAAACCGAATTATAATAGAGGGGAAACAAAAATCTCGCCAAACCCGACAATAAAGTATTAATCATTAAGGCAAAAATCAAAGGAGAAGGAGGTTGATTTGAGAGAAGAAGGGTGGCAGCCCCTTTAGGGCTGCAGCAGTGGAGAAGAAGAGGAAATGAAATGATTTAATTTTTTAAACCCCTTATTTATAGAAAATCTCAAAAAGTGCCCCGAACGGGGTCCGAAAAGTGAAATATGCGCAGACGCGCTCAAACGGCTAAACACCGTGAACAAAAAAGGACCAAAATGAGGAAAAAAAAAATGAATAACGAAAGAAACGGCGTCAAAAATCAAATCCCGAGTAGAAAGATATACCCCGAACAAGTCCGGCGGCAACCTCGGTCAGAAACCCGAAAATTGAAAAAAAAAATGACCAAAAGATAATTCTAAGAGTACGCGACTCGACGAAAAGTGAAAATAAATCCCGTACGAAGATTCAGGCTCAAAACGAGACATTTTACAATAACTTTCGTTAATTACATAATACCCCTACAAAAAAGGATAACTGCAAAACTAGCTCAGAATGAAAATATCTTCCAAAAGATATTTATGAAAAATACCCCAATAACCAAAAATGTTTCTGAAGAATCTTTTCATCTACGCCCCTGCGGGAAAAAGAAACAACCGGTGAGCTTTTCTCCAAAAATAAAGTTATGGGTTTCAAGGAAATCAACTGGAATGAAAATCAAATCCGAACACGAAAAGTGAGGTTATGCCAAAAAAGTGACAAACGGGGAAAAAGACGAAAAGTGAATAGTGTCGAAAAAAGAAAATGTGAAAATGACGCGGGCCTCATAAAGAAGTTGTTAATTCAAAGGAAGGAGTCTCCCGAGCACTCAAGACGACACCAAATGATGAGAAACCGAACTCGGAAAAGAAAAATTAACGAAAAAAAAAATATCCGTAAAATTTGAGAAAAAGAAAAGAAAAGAAAATGACCGGGTCATTATAGTCACTTAACGGTTCTGTAACGGAAATGGGGTAACGTAGTAGTCTATGTTAGTTTCGGGAGTTTTTTAATAATCGAGGGGGTTATATGTAGTTTTTGTAAATAACAAGAGATTTTATGTTTTTAGCCCATTAAATTATAGTACATTGAAATAGTTTTTTCCTAATAAATTTTATATTTGTTTCACAAAAATAGGATAATAGCTTATTTGTTTTTAGGTTATAAATATTATTCGTTTATTGGTCAATAGATTTATTATTGCCCATTAGTGTCTAAGCTTGTACTTGCATTAATAATCCACCATGTGGTTGTTAATGAGTTATTTAGTGCTCTTTTTTTTTTTTTTTTTTGGAAAGGTAAAAATAAATATAAAAAAAAAAAGAAAAAAGAATCGTGGTTTGGAATCAAACCAAACAAATCTTTCACGGTTCGGTTCCAACCTTAAACGGTTTCTATTTCAGTTTCAGGAATCGGTTTAGTTCCAATTTAGTCTGAAACCGTACCGAATCGGACCATGTACACCCTTACTCATGATATATAATTAATGTAACCCATGACAAAAATCAACTCTTAGGTTTCGATCGAAAAAAAAAAAAAAAAAATGACAACATTAGCTACGAGGAAAGAAAAAAAAAATAGTAATAAATTATGAGAGAAAATAAAAGAGACATAAAATATTGTTTAGAAAAAAGAAAAAAAGAAAAAAAAAAATAGCTTTTTTAAAAATAGACCACTTTGTTATTTGTGATTCCTAACTAGCATAACAAGAATACCCATACAACTTTAAAACCTTTGAACTTCTATTTTGGAAGGCAATGAAGTAATTAAAGGATTTAAATGAGATGGAAGAATACAGAAATATAAATGACCCGCCTTTGAAATGCTGTCCAATTCTGCCTTTTTGAATGGATTCTAAAATTCGCAAATTTTTTAAAATTTGATCTTTTATATACTGGCGTCTAGGTTTAGGACCACCATGTTGATCGCAACCAAATATAAAAGAACCAGGTTGGTGAGTCCCATATGCATAAATGCTGCTTCTAATCTTTTTGGGGTGATTGGATTATATTTTGATGCTCATGGATATCATGAGCTTTAAAAATGGAGTTAAGAAAATTGAAAATGAGTGTTAATTAATAACTATTAATTTTTGGATAAATACAAAACACCAACTTGAAGTTTGCATACAAAATATAGGGCAAACCTCCTGCCATTACAAGGTCTTGGGCCGCAGCCAGACTGTTTCCATGTGAAAAATCTCCCACTGTAAAAAAAATTGGGAAGGAGTCTAGTCAACTTCCGAATGTCAAATTGCTGAATATCTTCTTTATTGGACCCTGAAAGAGTCAAAGTGATCAAAAGTGAATATTTAAAAGCAGAAGAAAAAAGGAAAAAAAAAAAAAAAATGAGGAGAATTTCCTAAATGAACCACAAATAATAGCTGCACACAGAGATTGTATCCAATAAAGTCAATACAAGGCTACATTCACACAGAATATATCTTGCTCACTTCTCCTCTTCTCAGCACTTGGAAAATACCAAGGCCGTGACATCAAGGTCTGAACGACTTCAAGCAAAAACGTCTATAAAAGGTGTAATGTAATGGTAAATAGTTTACCTTTGGTAATCCTATAGACTCGAGATCCTCATCAGTCATGTGTATAAGAATTGTCATATCAATCTGCGGACAAAGCAATGGAATTTATTAAGGGAATGGTTAAAAACCAAAATCACTTCATAAAATTGTAGAAAAACAAAAGAAAGTTATAAAATTCACACACTTCCTCATTTTTGAATATACTTGAATATTTTTGAAGACCCAGCCGCTCCAATAAACAATCCACCGATTCAGCCTGCACCAAATATGTGATATGAAATTTAGTCCCAATATGTGATATGAAATTTAGTCCCAATCCCCAATATTAATATATATATATATATATATAAAGTACGCCTTCAGCTAAGATGATGTTTAAAATACACTATGCAACGGAAGGAATGTGCAGGTCTCAATTCCCGTGGGGGCACTTGTGTCTGTCTTTATCCAAGACAAAAAAAATAAAGAATGAAATTTTAATGAAATTCTAGCAAAATTAAAATCTCTGTAACAGTAATAAAATGCAACGGGTCTAAGTAATATTCTGAATGATAGAAACCAGTAAGATTTGTATGTTTGCCTTAATTCTTTTTTCAGAAAAGGCTGAGCTGGGGACAGTTTGACTGCCCTCCAATTTTGGTTGATCAGTGTTCACTCCCTGCAAATCTGCATCATCATATAGATCCTCAAAATAAGATAAAACAAAAGTAAACTATGTACAAACTAGGCATTGACTTTCAATCAAAATACTATGTCCATATAAGTCACAAACAAAGTCATACTTGTCCACCATTCAGACTTGGAGGCATTTTGAACCTCCCTGCAAAACAAATCACATTGTGTCAAATTAAAAGAAGAAAAAAGAAAATTTTGACATAGTTTTTGTGCCTCATAATATAATGAAACAAAATATTAATGCTAATATGAAAATAAGGAAAGGAAAAACTTACTGGGGGTAAAAAAATGATGTTAAAGTAGCGGGACCAAGGCCCTTTATATTCAACGCGCGGGCAGCTGAACTCAACGTTGAAAGCTGCATGTCCTTGGAAACTTTGACAATCAAAATGGAAACATATTGAACGACAGAGAGGTCAGAAAAGAAACCAGTTTTCATTAGACAAAATATTTTCCCTCCCAAATGAACAAAACAATAGGAGCATGACCAATCACGCAAGTTATCATATCCCGCCGGAGGATATGCAAAATCTGCAAATTGAATTCCGGTAAACAGCAGTGGAATGGCAAGAGATTGAATGATACCATCATCATCATCAGAAAATCGGACACGATACGCAATCAAGAAAAGACCATATTCATTTAGAGAACTGTATACCCAACCATCAACATATTCAGCCTTTCCATCCAAGTGGTAATATGGACCATCCTCCTTGTCCTTTTTGACGAGCTGCCACTCCTCCATTGAATTCGTACTCCCGAATCTGTAACAATAGAATTGAGTTTTGTGAGGATGCGGAATTTGATTTGTATCTTGAACTGAAATGAGAATACAGTCCTTGATGACCACGTAACCGAGGATAGTCATGGGTAATTTTTCCTCCCAACCCTGAAACTGATGAGGTAGTAAAGAAGAATCCCACTCTTGATTATCATCATCATGATTAATAGTAGTAGGATCCAAACGTTCAAACGACGGAGATTTTATAATGTTTCCTTCTTCTCCATTAAGCACAGAAAAATTTCTTCCTTCTCCATTAAGCACAAAAAAACCTCTTCCGTGCAGTGCCATCACTTTGGGAAAAGTTTTTGTTGCTTTTGGCATTGGCAAATTAGAAATCTCTTTGGTATTTGTGTCGACAAGAAGGGGTTGTAACTGGATATATTTTCCCTTCGTACTTCTGTAATATGAAGCAATCAAGCATATCTGCGATCCTAAGATATCACAACCAACAGATGAATAAGTTGTTCTTCCTTCTCCATAGTAACGAAAAGCTTTCACCACTGGACTAACTACTGTTGCAGATTCTGATTCAGACTCAGATCCCCCTCCTCTCCTCTAAGTTTGATTTCATAAATTGCAGCACAAATTGGGCTCTGATCAAAACTCGCAACCAAGAACAATGATACTTCCTCATCCTCCATCTTTAATTGCCTCCTCTGCCCTCCTCCGCTAATCGTGTTTTATTCTCAATCGGTAATTAGGGTTTTGGTGCCTCCCACTCCTCCCTCTACCTCGATTATAAAAGATAACGATGCATCTAGTCTTGTGAATTCTTTTAGTGTTTCATATTTATTAATTAATATAAAAATTATTTCTATAAAATACTAAAAAAAATACAGAAACTCTGTCAAAGAGTTTTAGTATTCATTTATTTGTATAAAAATATTTATTAATCGATATAAAAAGAATTTTTATTTATATTTTTAGGTCTATCACTCTTTTTATCTATATTTTTAGGTCTATCAATATTTATTTATTTATATAAAAAAATATTTATTAATTGATAATTTTTTTTTTATCTATATCTATATAATTATTAACATTGAAATGAGTTTCGGTGTTTCAGTATTTATTTATTTATATTGATTTATTTATATAAAAAATATTTATTAATTGATATGAAAAGAGTCTTCATAAAAATAAAAATAAAAATACTTTATAAAACTCTAAAATATACCTAATAAATTTCTATTTATCTAATTGTTATTATGAATTTTTTTAAAAAATAAAATCTAATTAGACAAGAATTATTAATATATAAAATATTTATTAATTGATATATAAAATAAAATAAAATAATTTTTCTAAAACTCTACCACAAATTAGTTTTATTATAAGTTTCTTATTAAAATAAAATCTAATTACACAAGGATATATTTAAAGAAAATAAAATAATTTCTATAAAACACTATCACAAATTACCTATTTTATTCGGACAAAAATATATTTAAAGAGTTTCTATAAAACTCTAACACAAATTACCTATTAATCTATTTATTATGAGCTTTTTAATAAAAGTAAATCTAATTAGACAAGTACTATTAATATAAAAAATTATTTATTAATTGATATAAACCCCTGGGGATTGATTCTTGCTGGGTCAATGTCCGAGCGATTAATGGGGATGGATTGTAAATTCGTTGGCAATATATCTACACTGGTTCAAATCCAACTTGGCCCAATAATTTGTCAATCTACCATAAACTAGGATAACTCCCCTGTCCTTCAGACATATATATGGAGGAATAAAAAAGAATCGCATTGATAGTTACTGTATTTTGCTAATAGTCGGCTAACCTATTTTATTATATTTTTTACATGTTTTTAAAAAAATTTCAAAACATATTTATCTAATTGTTTGTTTATATTTTCTTCAACGACTATTCTCGAATTTTATTTTTATATTCGAATAGAATAATTTTTTAATGAATTTAAATTAATATAAATAAAAAGACATTACATATTTTCTTATAATTAAATACTTCCTCTATCCTAAAAAAAAAAATTATCCTTTTTGAATAATATAAAATTTTAAGACATGTATTGTGCCTAGGGTCGCAAGTTGGGCGACCCCAACTCAGCTCGGGCCCAACCCAACACAACCCAAAGTTGGGTTGGGTTGGGCCAGTCCAATGTAAAAAAAGGCAGGCTCTTACAATAACTCGGACCCCAATATGTTCGGGCCGAATGAGCTGACCCATTCAAAATATATATATATATATATATATATATATATATATATATATATTCTCTTAGAAACAAATATGCAAATTACATCGTTTCTTTTCCCGATTTGAAACATCAAATTTTCCAGATACTTTTAATTCATTAATATTTTTTTTTAATCAAGTATTCAATTATTAATTTTTATGGATGTGCCTTGTAGCCCATGTGGTGGATGCACCTCACGGTTAGTGTGAGTGCCAGTGTTCGAGCCACCCATACTACTAACTCCTCCCCTTCCCCCTCTAACTCCTAACATTGCCAAGACAAATATATATATATATATATATATAACTTGCCAAATTTTATTTTAAATATAAAAGTAAGAAAACTTTTTCTTTTTTATTTGTGATTAAATAAATATTTATTTTTAAATTACTCCAAATAAAACCCTAAAACAATTTGTGTAGATGGTAGTAATCCTTACATGCCGCCACAAGAGAGCAAACCGGGGAGAGGGGGAGAAATCGACCACCTCCCTACTATTACAGTAGCGAGATGCTGCCCTTCCTTACATCAACGACCAAGTCGCCGTACGACGACTATTATCCTTCTTCTCCTGGCAACGCATTCTCCTATCCGGTGAAGGGTTCCGGTCGCTTAAAATAGGAGCGACCGCTGCTTCTTCTCCGGTCAACCAGGTCGCCGGAGTGCGACCTAGTGTGTGTTTTGGATGGTGACACAAGGTCGCCATTAACGACCACCATAGTCGCTGGCAGAGACCAAAGAGGTTGCCCTTGGCGTCAACCGCCTTCTCCAAACAACAATTCATTGATCCTCTCTCTCTATATATGTATGTGTTTTGCTATCTATATATCTGATTGAAAAGAATATGTGTGTGTGTGTTGTGTGTCAAAGACCAATTAGGGTTTTTATTAAAAAAAAAAAAAAAAAAAAAAAAATGAATTTTTAAATTTTGGTTGGGTTAGAGTCGAGTCTGAGCCCAACCCAAACACGTTTGGGCTTTGAAAACCCCTAACTCGATTTGTGAATTTAAAAGCCCAAATTTTAAAAATTTCGAATTGGGTTCGAGTTGGGCTGGGTTAGCCCGCCCAATTTGCACTCCTAATTGTGCCCCTGGAAAGAGTAGAGAATAGAGATGTGTGGAATGTGAAATGAATGGTGGTAAGGGTTGATGTATTTATAGAGGTAAAAATAATATATATATATATATATATATATATATTGGGCTAATAGACTAGCACTGTTTGTGTCAGCTAGGCCTGGCAATTGGGCGGGTTGAATTGGGTTAAGATTAAATATGGGCGGGTTGTCATAACTCGTTATGACCCACCAACCCATTTTATTTCTTCTGCTTTTCTTTTATTTTATTTTTCTTCTGCAAAAAAAATAATAATAATAAAATAAAATAAAATGCAATTTATTGCTTCATGCTAATACCTTAGTTTTGATGGATAAAATTAAGTTGGTCAAAATTAGTAGAAAACCTAGTCCAATTTGCTTGCTAAATCGATCCATTTAATAAAACCCAATCCTTTTTAAAAAATATAAATAAGTATATGTTTGTGTGTGTATAAATATGGTCTCTAAAACACCCACAAGAGTTATTAACCATCAAACAAGAGTTATAAATATGCTTGTGGAATTATT